TTCTTTTCGAATCACATGTAAATTTTGTTTGCTTCTAATGAAATCTTAATGAGTCGCGTGCGTAGGTTTTGATTGTATATTGATATGGTTATGAGTTAGTAATAGTACTGATAATATTGTTAATAACAGCTAATAATAATGAATGTTTATTTATTTATTTATTTAAGCAGCAAATCAAACTCATTACGAGTTTATGCCTCTCTGTTATCACCAATATCACTAATATCACATTCATCCTTCCTTGGCATTCTTCTTTCCGCGCAGCTAACGATAATAGCGTTTGGAATCATCTGTCCTCATGAAATTCGAACTTGAATTATTAATCTGGCAAGCGCAGAGGTTTTGGGTTACTCTCCCGTATTACCCAATTATTTTCTAGGGAGAGGGACTCAGAAAAATAATGAATAATGATAGTGAATAATAGTAATAGTTTATTTTGTAGAGTTTAACAGAACAGAGAATGCACACACACGACGTTGGTGGTGAGAAGAAGTGCTCTGAAGTGATCGATTCGGTGATTAGTAATATCGATGAGAATATGGAACACTTCGACTGATCCATTGGAAAGTCTGCAGAATTCTTCAACTGAAATTCTTGCGAAACAAAGCTTAGAAAAATATTCCAGTTTCTATTCGACTAGCAAATGACAATATTTTATTTGGTTCTCTTCAAAAATTGCATCTGTCTTTCATGGATCACAATTGCGTTCTGTCCTGTTTACGGTAGAAGGAGTATGTTATATCAGTTGATATGTTATGAATCTTTTGAATTTTCATCAATTTCTATTTATCAATTTATCAATCTTTTTTTATGAATTCAGTTTGTTGTTTTAATCGTTTTTATTTTTTCAATCAATTTGTCAATCTTCTCATAAGTNCAATTTGTCAATCTTCTCATAAGTTTTTATGATAATTCAATTTGTTGTCAGTTTCTTCACCAGATTTTTAAAATTTTAACAAAATTTCATTATTATTGAATTGTTCGGTTTTTGAAATGGAAAGATTAGTGTGAAAATAGTTTAGTACACTTTAAATTGCGTTTTGCAATGTGCTTTATTTATCATTTTGATCGATTAATTTATAATTTCGAATGTTTCAGTGATCAAATTGATGTAAATGTTATTCATTTACTGGATTCCTTATCCGTCTGTTACTATTCAGTAGTTTGAGATAGTCGTCATTGAATGCGCTCTTGTATGTTAGCATTAGAAGAGTATATTCACATTGCTGTTAGCATTATTTTAATTGTTTTATTGGTATTGATCTTTTCTTGTGCTTTTTTATGGGAATACGCGAATTTTATATCTCAGTGCAGTTGTTCTTTGAGTCATTTTCATTGTTTGTTACCATTATGATTATGTTGTCATCGTTTTTATTCGTGTTATTATTAGATTGCAAGCCTCATTGCACGCCTTAATTGTACCATCTCTGTTATTCTTGTAGTCATCTAGCTCTTATGTACTGATTTTACATTCGTTTCTTCTGATACCTCTTCAAATGGCATATTCATTTGAATTTTGTAAATTTGTGTGATATTTTCTTATCTTTTACCTTTCTGATTGTAGTTCATTTGCTTATGTTTGCAATATTTCCGCATTCAAAATATTTTTTCCGAAATATTCTCGAAAAGATGTTCGTTTACATATGTATGTGAGTTTCTTCTAGATTTAGTTAATTAGATGTTCAGAATATCAATGAGATGACCAGGTGATCGCTCGGTATACCAATCGGTTTCGTTGAGATTGTCAGATGTGAGCCAGCAGGATATGTATGTAATCGTATGATTATGTATAGCAATAATTTAGATCGAAAATAATTTATTCAACCATATAAACAGACAACCATGTCGATTTCGTTGGAACAAATCAAAAATCAAATTGCAGCAATCGGATAATTAATATGATTATATCAAAACAATGATATTATGATGTGCCGTTATCCATTGGACGGACAACAATTGCGTTGAAACGTGATCAGTTCGAGTCTGAAGACTAATTAGTCGGAAGAATATTGATTGATCGATCTGATCTGATCTGCTCGGAAAGGATGTGATCAGAAATGTTTGATCGATGTTTAGGCATTGTATCCTCCTCCTCCTCCAGCATATCCTCCTGAACTGTATCCTCCTCCCCCACCCATAGCATACCCACCAGGTCGGGCATATCCACCACCGCCACCAGGCCCACCTCCACCGATTATACCCATCACTGGGATCAGTTGATATGATGGTCCCATACCGCCACCCCCCATACCTCCACA